GCAAGTTTTGCCTCATTCTTACGGAAGTACAAAGTATGAAGTACAGTAAAATACAACAATAGACAAAAATTCCTACTATCCCAGGCTGACTGGACAGAGTACGGTTCTATCTCAGATGACAAAGTAAAAGGACTTTCACTGACTCTGAACCCAGTTAATATTAATTCCGACTACCAGCTATTCAAAAATGCTCTTTTATCTGCTGCAGAAGAGTGTATTCCACTTCGCAATCTCCCCTCCTCTAGCCGCATTTCTTCACCACCGTGGTGGGACAAGGAATGTACCATGGCTTGCAAAAATCGAAAGAATGCAGAAGCAACCTACACCTCTGCAATGAATTCAGAGAACTACCTAAATTATAAAAAAAATGCTGCAAAAACGGTCCAACTACTAAAATTTGAGAAGAAAGAAGGCTGGTCCAAGTTTTGTTCATCCCTCTCCCCAAAGTCCGCCCCGACGCTTGTCTGGAACAATATTAAAAGGTTCCGTGGATCGACATCTGATTGCCATAACACTTCTTCTGACCCATCTTCATGGTAAATACCCTTCAGTCAAAAAATTGCCCCTCTTTCGGCCCCTGCCATTGAAGAGATCACAGTCCTTCCTGCAATTCAAAGGTCCACATCTACTCTAGAATCACCCTTCTCTTGGGAAGAGCTCTCCATAGTTCTATCAGGACTGGAGGACTCCTCCCCGGGAGGTGATGGAATCCCTTACTCTTTTATTGTCAATAGTGGAAATGACACGAAACTTTGCTTTTTAAATTTGATCAACACAATCTTTACCAGTGGTGCTCCACCGGACGAATGGAAGACGCAGATAATTATTCCCATATTAAAGGGAGGCAAACCTGGCAACGAACCATCCAGTTACCGCCCTATCGCTCTCTCGAACACAATGTTTAAAATTTTAGAACACCTCATCAAGAACAGATTGGAATGGTTTTTGGAGAACAATAACAGGCTAGCAGAAACGCAATTCGGTTTTCGTAAAGGATCAAGCACAATGGACAGTCTGAGTACTTTTGTGACTGATATCCGTATTGCTCTTTCAAAACGAAAATCAGTTGTAGGCGTGATTCTCGATGAAGCAGCCGCCTACGATAACGTTCTTCTCCCGGTGCTCAGGCAGAAAATGCTCCAGCTGAACTTCCCTGCGAGGATCATAAACTTTGTTTTTAATAGCCTAACCAATAGAGCGATTCTCATAAACTCCCAAAATTCTACTCTACCAGCCAGAAGTGTTTGGAAAGGTCTCCCCCAGGGGTCGGTGCTCAGGCCTTTGCTATATAGTATTTACACATATGATCTAGACCTGACGGTTAAGTCATTCTGTACTATACTTCAATATGCAGATGACCTTGCCTTGTACTTAGAGGTTGATAAAATTCAAGATGCTAGTAGTAAACTTAATAATGCTATTTATTATCTTAACAACTGGCTTTCAGATCATGGATTGTCTCTTTCTATTCCCAAAAGTAGTGTAGTTTGTTTCACAAGATCAAGAAGTATCCCCGATATAGATATCTCCTGCGATGGACAGAACTTTCTAATTAAAGACAAAGTAAAATTTCTGGGAATGATATTAGACTCTAAGATGACAGGTGTCCATCATATTAATTATACTATCCAAATATGTGAAAAAAACTTGAATATTCTAAGAGCTCTTTCAGGAGTTTGGTGGGGTACCCACCCAGTTACACAGAGGTTATTATATAATTCCCTTATCCGGAGCTTATTGGACTATGGCAGCTTTCTTTTACTTCCCTGTAGTAAAATTGCATTGAAATCCCTAGAAAAAATACAATCAAAATGTCTACGAATCATTCTTGGAGCCATGAAGTCCTCCCCCATAAATGCAATGCAGGTTGAGTGTGTTGAACCCCCCTTAGAATTTCGCCGACAATATCTGTCAGATAAATTTCTCTTCAAAATCTACCAACGTTTGTCACATCCTCTAATTCCAAAACTTCATCTACTACACCAACTGGCCCCTACAAATGAATACTGGTCCCATAAAGACCTGCCTTGTCTGCTGATTAGCTACAGAAAACTAATAAACCTCCTATCTCCTGTGTAGACTGAACCCTCTATTTGAAACCCCTTATCAAGCTCTAATTTATGAACCAGAAGTAATTTTAAATTTGGGCATAGAAAAACATTCCTTAGATGCACAAGTTAGGTTGAACCAGATAATCTCTGAGAAATGGGCCGACTGGCTTACAATATATACAGATGCATCAAAATTATCTGGAGAAAGTCATGTTGGATCTGCAGTCTGGATCCCTAAATATAATATAATTTTAAATTTCAAATGTCCTCCTGTTTGCTCAATCTTCACAGGTGAGGCCATTGCCATATTAGAAGCTCTTAAATTTGCTGAATCCCACAAAGTTAATAAAGTAGTATTATTCTCTGACTCAAAGAACTGTTTACAAGCTATCCGTTCTAATATTTAAATGTAGATTTAAATTTCAATTCATTTTAAAAATCAAGACTCTTCTATTAGATTGTCATCGGCAAGGGCTAGAGTTTGTTCTGGTATGGATTCCGAGTCACACAGGTATCAGCGGCAATGAGACAGCAGATGCATGCGCCAAGCAAGCTACGGTCAGTGGCTCTCTCTCACACAATGGCATATATCCCAATGATCTAGCATCCATAGCAAGGAAGAATTTGTTATTGGAATGGTCTAAAGACTGGAAAAAAACTAGCAAGACAAAAGGCTTACATTACGCTAATGTACAACCGGACATTCCAAGCGTACCTTGGTTTTTCCGAACTTGCAATTTTAAAAAACGAGTTATCTCCACCGTATCCAGACTTAGACTCGGACACGTATGCACGCCTGTATTTTTGGCCAAGATCAGGGTCAAGGATAGCTCCCTATGCGAATGTGGCTTCGACGAGGGTACCACAGATCACATTTTTTTCAACTGCCCTAGAAACTCCCCCTCATATACGTTACTTCCTACGTCTATCCCTCGCCCCGCTAATTTTATAACCGTATTATTATTTGTCTACTCGGATTTTGTGAATGTCCTGTGTGCATATATTGACAATATTAACATTAAATTGTAGCTAGTAAGTAGATTATCGCCGCTTCATGCCCTAACAAAAAGCTTTAATTGTTTCAGGTATCTCAACATCCTCATACTTTAAATTCTCTTCCTACACTGTTCGGTTTCAGTCACTCGTCGTCCTTGTACCTGCACAACTAAACGCCCTGCTACACTTTAAGCAGAGTTATTAAATTTCATTTATAAATATACCGAACAAGCATAGAATAGACAATCCCTGCTACATACACTAGTCATTGGCTTAATCTTTAAGGAGCCATTAAAGAAGAAATTGAATTCATGGCCAAAGCTCAATAAGTGAAAAAAAATATCAACCAATATTAATTAACAATATTTGTTATTTTTTGTTTTCAAATGTTTGGTTTTTATTCTTGAATTAGCGGAGTGCTAAAAAAGGGTTCCAAGATTTTTTTGCAAGTCGTTCTTTTCAAGGAAATTTGACAGACAGAGGTCATTGGCTTTCCTATTCTTAATTGAATCGCATTATAGAAATTTTATCAATAATTCTACATGTAATGAACTTCAGAGCTATTTTTGCCGAAAAATAATGAGCAGCACTAGATTGAACAAAATTCCACCTCCAAACAATATCACCTACATCATAAGAAGTGACTTCACGACGCTTGTTAAAATAAGAAGCATTACGTTTATATGCTTTAAATAAAGTACCAGTAACAAAAATACTTTCATGTGAAGAAAGAGAATGAGCAAAAGCAGAAAGGTCAACAAGATCGATCTGTCTAAAACTATCAAAAAAAATACTAAAAAGGTGCAATGACGCATCAACAATTATTTCCCTACCAAACTACGGTAATATAAATTTATGACCAGTATAAGTTTTGGGTAAAATTCCAATTATATCCAATCTTAACATTACTATAGGTCTATCTACTTTTTTGGGATTAATCATAGTTCCAAGTGGTTTAGAAGTCGAATGCTTATAAGCTTTACAATTATCTCAATTATCAATATAGTTATGAACATCATTAAACATACCTTTCCAAAAATAATGTAGTTTTATTGTATGCAATGTTTTATGAATTCCTAAATGACTCTAATTTAAATCTTTATGATCATGTCTTTTGGAAAGACAATTTTCCAATCTAAATTGATGTTAATTTTGTTTTACAAAATTTATACAAAGTATCATTTTAAATCTACTCTAAAATTTCTATAACGAAGTTTTTGTCAAATTTTTGTCTTAACTTTATTTTCAGACAGACTTCAAATTATTCTTGACTTTAAAAGTATATAAAATATGCATTATCTCTTAAAATAACCAAACACGAATTGAGATCAGATCCTCACCAAATTATATATATTTCGCCAAAAAACTGATTCAAACAATAAAACAATCATTAAAATCGGTCCATGCGCCTTGGAGATATGCGTGAACAACAATTAAAAAACATGTAATGACGAATTGGGTACCATCTCCTTTTTAGTCGGTGAAAAACAAACATTAAGTAAAACATTATATTTGTAAGTCAATAATTTTTTATTTCGAGGCCATTTTTTTAAGAAAAAAAATTGTTTGTATGAAAATAAACTCATTTTTGCCATACTTTTTTTTTATTAATTTATAATTAAACCCCATCGATTTCCCAACTGTGATCGATTTTCCAACAAAACAAGTGTTTTGTCTCTATTAAGTACGAATGAACAAGTCCAAACGCATTCCGTGTCTGTTGCAGGGTGGGGAGTCCATACAAAATTCCCCATGGTCCTTTAAAATTATGGATGTCAACAATATTAGTACTTTTTTCATAATCGATGTAATTATAATAAAATCATGCAACCTTTGGGGGTTTTTATTGCAAATCTAAAATAGTGTCTTATTCTTCCTTCTTAAAATAGACAAGCTTTTAGATCGATATACATGATAATAGCAGTTCTAAATCACCACATGCTTATGTTCCAGATATGGGTTCATCCACGATGAGCGGTTGCCGCAAAAAACGGCGCCGCAAAAGATCAACATCGAAGTGGAAAGAGAGAAGAAGTGGGTCAAGATGCTTGGCACGTGGGATTCCCCTACTACCAAAGAAAAACTTCATAGACGTATTTACAAGGGCATTCCAAATTCTTTAAGAATTAAAATTTGGTGCAAATTGCTGGATGTTAATAGAATAAAGTCAGAATACCCTGGAAAGTATCAAGAAATGTTGAAACTAGCTAAACAATGGTCCACAGATGTCAGACAAATAGATTCCGATGTTAATAGGCAGTTTCGAGAACATCAGTTTTATAGAGAAAGATATTCAGAGAAACAGTGTTCATTGTTCAATGTATTGTGTGCTTATAGCATGTACAATTCGGAAGTTGGATATTGTCAAGGAATGTCTGGATTGGCTGGTATCTTACTCATGTATATGGATGAAGAAGATGCCTTTTGGGCCCTTGCAGTGCTATTATCTGAGAAAAAATATCATATGCATGGATTGTATATAGAAGGATTTCCAAAATTAACAAGGTTTTTAGAGCACCATGATAAGATACTCACAAAATTTATGCCAAAACTGAAAATCCATTTTGATAAATTTGGCTTGGATGCTATATTATATTCTCTCAAGTGGTTAGTTTTGTATATTTGTTTCAGTTTAGTTAGAGAATATTAAGATTTTTCATTATGTCAAAATCAATTGTATTTGCTTTATAGGTTCTTTGTAGTTTTCGTGGAGCGAGTACCCTTTAGTTTGTGTTTGAGAGTGTGGGACATTTACCTGCTTGATGGAGAAAGAGTAGTAACTGCAATGGCTTATACGATCCTCAAACTTCATAAAAAGGCAATTATGAAGTTAAATGATATGGATCTTATTGTTAATTATATTCAGGTAAAGTTCCTAATCCTGACTAAAATTTTATTTGGTACTTTAAACTAGGTCAACAAGTTATTTATATAAACCCTATCTTTTCAGGTAAAACTACACAAAGATTTTGGTTTTGAGGATGATATTGTTATCTACCATTTAGAACGATCAATGGACGAGTTAAGACGGGCTAAGCTTGACTATCCTGGCCCACCGCCGCCAAATGAACTGCCAAAGCGACAACTTGGAATGTTTATAGAGCCTGACAAAAAATCAAAAATTGGTCAACGGGCTGAGAATTTCTCTGAAACTGAGAAACAAGCTAGAGCCACTGTGATATTAAGGTAATTTGACTTCTCTGTTTATATATTAGGAAGTTATAATTATATTTTTACTACAAAATTATGAATAATATTACTATAATAAATTGCGTCTTCTATGCTAAACTGTCAGTGTAAGAAAAGTTTTGAATGCAGTTTACTATGGAGTAATTGTGGAACCTATTCCTTAACTGAGATAATGGATTCTTATAAAAGTTAAATCCCATGATCGATATAGGTATATTCATACTCGTCGACACCCCAAGAAGTCTCATACAGAAGACATTAATAAAAGTAAAGAAATAATAGATAGTGTAATCTTGTTCTCGGTTCTGCACCGCAGCAACGTTTGAAATTCAAAAAGTTGTAAAACATTATTATGTCCTGAAGTTAGGTATTTATCATAGTTATTTGATTTCAGACGTGAAAAGGCTGCACTGGAACTTCATGAGCTGCGGGTGTCACAAAGCGACACTGTCTCAGGTAATCTAGAGGCATCACCTTCGCTCTCTGACTCATTTTCCTCCGAGAGTTTTGGCTCAGATCATTTCACACATCTTTAGTTGTTGTTGTTGTTTTAGTTGTGCATCGTGCCGTTAATGCGTAAACAGCCCTTGCTCAAACGCCGTCTATGAAAGGATTTTTTTAAAAGTTGCGAAATATCTTGCCATGTAAAAATATACTCTAATTGTTATTTCCTTTCAAGATGACTAGGAAATTTCTCAAATTTATCATTATCTTATAGTAAATCATTCTGTTTTAGATTGGTTGTTATACCAAGATGTATATCAGTATTTTTAAGATAAAATTGTTGGTACAAATAATTGGATATTTTTCAAGTTTTCATGGAAAGTAGACTTCTTAAAATATTATGTGACTGTCATGTAAAGTAATTTTATCTTTATAACGAATTCAGAAATAAATATATTTGTATTAATATTAAACGATTTTTAGCTATCATTAACACATTCACATGATTTGTACATTTTTAATATTGGTTTCGATTTCAATATTCAACATAGAAAACTATTTTAGAGTCATGGTAACGTCAATTATAAATTATTAAGACCAGTCAAATATTTATTATTGGATATATATATAAATAATAATAAATAAATAAATAATAAATAAATACCGAATATAAAGATCTAACAATTGAAATGCTCAAATGAAGTAAAAATAAAATTACCCAGTATTTTTAAATTATGTGCATAGTTTAATAATAATTAGGAAAAGAACAACACAAGTTCTATCATGATGCAGTAATTTAATGGAACTTTTCACAAAATAGTTTTATTGAATGTTTACTTGTAAAAGAATATTTATTGCATGGTTTAAGCCTTTTTTTTCGCATAGATATTTTGTTCTCATTTAAAGCTTGTTGATGTGCTAGTTTATTAATGTGATTTACATTTGGTCATTTGCGGTTATAATTTTGGACTTATGTCTTACTATAATAACAGGGTCCATAAGGAAATATTCATTGTCTTACCCCTTGTTATTAAACAAAGAATAAGCTTTGGAGTTACTTCATGTTTTGTCTCTGTTCATTGAATTACGATTGGCATTTGATTGATATGAACAAAACGCGGTGTAACTAGTCTTAAGTTTATTCCTCGTTGATTAATAAAGCATAAGTGTTTCGGGGTTGTAAAATATTGTTCAGTATAGTATTTATGTTATTATCATGGGTAGTTATTACAAAGGGCAGTTTGGATATGAGGTAATGTTTGAAAGACTTGGGCACCTAGACCTTACAAGTGTATATATAATATTATTATTAAGTAAAGCCTCTTGAGACTAACTAAACTGACTTTGATATTGGACTGATGCTAAACGTAAAAAAAACTTAGAAATTAAAAATAACACTTCTCTTTCCTCCTTGCTTCATGGGAAATTAAAAATTACTTTTTTTTTCTTCAAAAAGATTGGGGTTTATCGCAGGTTCTCTAGGTCGCAGTGTAACTAATCCCTATTAATGACTATATCGCAAAATTACTACATATCATTTCGTCTAGAATATTCATTGACTACGTAGCATAATGCCTATGGACAGACAGAAAGACAGACAAATAGGTTTTTACCCTTTGGGTACGTAACCCAAAAAAATAAGAATTCTCCAATTTGATGTAGTTGTTGGGAAATTACATACATATACACGATTTTATACTAACTGTACTAGTGTATTTAGTCAATCAACCTATCCAGACATTTGCGACCTTAGGCATTATGCGATGTAGTCAATTAAAGATCTAGACGAAATTTTATGTAGTCATTTTGCGATACAATACATTAATGGGGGTAGTCACACTGCGACCTAGATAAGCTGAGATCAACCCAAAGATTGCATTGTTTGTTACTTCTTTTGGAATATTGTTTATAGCTGGCGAATCATACGATTTACTTTAACTGACTGACTGGGTGGTCAGTAATTATAGACTATAAATTAGATAATTTCTGAGAATGATCTATTCGAAGAAACCGTATTCTTGAGAGATAAATTTTGACGTGTCCAGTTAGTCACAGATTAACTTATATCTACTGGATACAGTATGTGAAAGTATGGCTTAAAAGTGTGAGGTTGCTTATATAGATAATTTGAAATGCAAAAATAATAATTAAATTCAATACTGACTTATATTACAACCGCCGAACATTAATTATTTATTTATTATAAGTTCAACAGATTATGATAATAATAAGTGATAGCCATTACAAAGAAGCATGTTAGTGAAACCGACATTTACAAGCAAATGTGACGTCATTCACGAGTACAAAATGTGTCCTGCCCTTAATCATTACGTTTGGTGATATGCATTTAGGTAATGCTACATGCATGTGTATAAAGCAATAAACGTTTATAAATATATTGTATTTGTAGTAGAGATGGGCCGACTATAGTATTTGCTAACCGACTAGCCGACTGATCGGTTTTCAAATTGCCTACAAGTCGCCAATGAAGATCATTCTAATACCGATCAGAGGGAGGTATTCGGAATATTTCGTCACTACTCGGCTTGCTCACACACGGCACGAGTCATTGCGCGGTTTTGTGTATGCTGTGTCGGTATAATCCAATAGAGAAAAAAATGAGAAAATAGCTCTTGATGGGTACGTACTCTAGGTACTATTTAGAAATTAAAAATCAAGCATAAATTGGAAGTTGTAAGGCATGTTTACCGATTAGTCGCTGACTATTCGCCAACTACTAACGGTGCCGATAAGTCGTCTTTCCCAACTAGTCTGCGGCTAGTCGGCCCATTTCTAATTTGTAGTTATGATAAATTGAGAGAATCTTATTCCGAATAACCATTTGGGATTTCGTTTAAAAGTACTTGAGTAAACAAACTAGGTATATAGAAAACTGGAAAAGCGGTTTATTAATTTCATCACATTTTAGTTCAATACATATTAGTTATTACAGGATCAATTGTGGTGTGCCAAATAAATTCCTTTTATGATGTGAAAAAGATGGCTGATGCATAGTTTTTAAGAAGAACTTTTCAAAGGTTATGTAAAAACAATTGTCAAAGCTGCTGTTGAAATATTGGAAATGATAATGTTCTTAGGCGCTTAAGAGAGTTGGTTGCTAGTTTTGTTATTTGTTTTTGATCACTTTAAAATCTCTATTTTAATAATAAGAAAATGGAAGTAGGTACTAATTAAGATCTTATCACATTAGACTCCAAGTTAGAGTACAGCATGAAAATGGTCTCCCGCCGTAGTTTTGTGAACCGATGGCGTAGTTTTCGTCTTTCACATGTGATTGTAAAAGCTTAAACTGAGAAAATGATTTTTGAATTGAATAAAATTGAATATTATAATTAAGAGGTGAATTTGTTACTAGTGGTTTCGGTAAGTTGTTCGATATGGACTTTGCGATCTGCGAATATTGACGAATATAAATTGAAGCCATTATAAACTTTATATAAAACCTATTAACATTCCTATAAGGTAAACTTACTTGCACTTATGCGGATTTTACGTTTGACGACACGTTAACCATTAACTGATAGATAACACGGTCCGCTATTGAGTCATAACTCAAAATAATTTATTCAGTTTAGCACGCACAAGCACTCATGAATGTATAGAAGCTACGACTTGGTTCGTAAATCTACGGCGGGAGACCCTGTACTAAGAAGAACCGGCAAGAAACTCAGCAAGGGCTGCTTATTCTCCCTGAATTATAATTTACAGAGACGGTCAAGTTGAGAAATGACTTCAGAGATAATTCATAAAGTCATCTTTCATTGCATAATGTGAAATACACATTAATTGTTCGGCTGCATTTTAATTGCTTTCATACAGTATAAATACAAATAGTGTTATTTATATTAGGGATAACAGATTCATCTGCGCTGGCAGCATCCGTTCACGAGCATGAAGCATGAATCAGCCATAGCTGTGTGACGAGAGACGACGCGTGTTGTCCACTCCTCTCACTACTAGTCCACGACTTTTGCCTTTGCGATAAACATAGCGACGGTCTGCGCGCATTCGGTAGGCTTTACGCTAGCCCTGCCCCTGTGCTCTTCGTTTCGTGGCATGCTTCTGACATTTCAGTACTTTTGTTCTTATCATCACTTGGCATGTCACTCTTAGCCGTCGCTCATAACAGCAAGGTCGCAGCTGAGCCGCTTGACTTCGAGTGGCCGGTGGGGTTGATTGCCTATACAGCGCTTCCCACGGCTACCTCACACGGAGGGAGAGTACCTATCTTAAATATTGAAGATAGGATATTTTACTGAAAGAAGACATTATTTTATTTTCAATAATAACCGGAACTGCATTCACAGATTTTTAAATATCGCCTGCTACATCTGGGAATCAAACTCGTAAAATTTCGAAAAAAAAGGCAAATTATTTTATGATAACCATCGAAAGGGTCAATCATAAGGATTATTTTTTGCTAAATAACAGCATTTTAAATTAAAGGAATGTCTTATTACGTGATAAAAATAATAAAGTGATATAAATACTGTAGTAAGTATGCTTTCTTTTTGAACTCACAGTTACAATGCGATTGGCTGAAATTTATAAAAATAATAATAATAATTCGAAAATGGAACACATACATTTTCAGGCGTCTGTTCTTTTGTTTTTTTGTGAGTTTCATTTTCGTTTATTTGCTATTTTTTTGTTAATTTACTTACCATAGCGTATCTAAATAATATGGATTTAATGGAAGCTTACTTTATGAACCACTCAGACATATTAGCTTTGCGGTGGTACCGCGAAAGATATCCTGACAGAGACGTAGCTTCTCGATATGTGTTTAAAAGGTTAGTGGACATTTAAAGAAATTAAGGACGTTTTGAATTTTTGATATGCGCTTACAGAAACCACAGCAGGGGATGATAAACGGCAATGATGATGAACTCAACATTTTTACTTACTTTTAGGCGTATCCGATTTTATATTTGTCTATTATTAATTAATTTTAAATACAAAGTTAGTTTTAATTACTTTTCTTTCATTTAAAATGTATGTTATTTAGCAAAACATAATTCTTATAATTAACCCTTTCGATGGTTTTCATAAAATATGTGGTATTTTTTTTTCGAAAGTTCACGAGTTTAATTCTCAGTTGAAACAAGAGATTTTTAAAAAAATCTGTGAATGCAGTTCTAGTTATTATTAAAAATAAAAAGATGTCTTCTTTCAGTAAAATATCCTACCTTCAATATTTAATACACTTTCCCTCCGTGTGAGGTAGCCGTGGGACGCCCTGTATAGTCGTTGACTCTTGATACTTGTACCGAGAAGGTTGGAGTTGAAACGGTGTTGGATTGAATTGGTGTAGTCTCTGTAATGTGCTAAGATCTTAATTTTTACTAGAATACCTTTCTTATCGGCAACCGCTGAGATTTTTTAGTGATCATTCCTACTGTCGGCATTGGTTAGTGTTGCTTGCCAGTTTGTGTAATTACCACTCGCGCCTACATGTAAGAGTTTGGGATAAGTTGTAACGTAGTGTTATGCACTAGCATGGTTTGTTTGGTAGTCTGGAGGTGGGTTTATGTTATAATTAATAACATGTCACGAATGCGCATTTAACATAATGGCCACTGGTAAAGTTTGAGGAGATTACGGGATATTGTTTTGCAACTCATCTCTCCATAGACAAAATGGCTTTGCTTATCAAGTTTACGAGTCGCTGCTATTACATTATGGTTAGCAATTCCTATGTCGTAAGTTATGATTTTCTACTGTGTGTAGTAAGGCCACTTGTTGAGAGGGATTATGTGTATGACGCCAAATAAAAAAAATATAGCATCAGTTCTTATTATGCTTTAGAGTAACATTTCAGATACGCCCACTTCAATCTCCTCAAACATTCATTTGTGCTATTAGCTTATCGCAACGGATGTCATTTTATATTCCTTGCATGTTAAAAAAAATACGCTCTAAATATTTTTTAACAACAAATAACAGATTAACATTTAAGGCACTTGTTATTTATTTTGCTTACACGTTGGTTGATATACTGCACATAAGGTTTTACCGGTACGGGATTGAGTTCGTCTAACGAGAACCTTGTCAAATAATTACGCTTCAAAGAATCTCTGCTCAACATTCAGTATTGTAGTTTACGTTCGTGTTTTAATTATCACATAAACCCACTCCGTCACCTTTTGTTTTATGTATACACACTATCAAAATAAGTATTTAATTGTTCTAATTTTATTATTTGTAAGATTTGCTGTTGAACGTACCTTCTTAAATATAACAATTAACTAATAACATATGAGTTAATAAAATTATTATGATGATTAGAAATTCAGCATTTTAATTAAAAAAATCGTACATAATATCTATTGTTTGTATAATATTACATGACGTTTTCACTAATTGTGGAAACCGATACGATATAATTATCTCGTTTTATTTTTAGTTTTGCCGCCCGTGGTGGTTTGAGGACACCAAATCTAATATTCAATTCAAACACATATCAATTACAGTTGAAATGAATGGTACGTTTTAGCTGTTTAGATGTCACCAAAATGTGCAAGCAGTAGTCGAAGCGCACATGACATTATGTAGCTTAAATTTCTGTGTGGCATTTTTAATGAGCTTCTTAGATTAATGGATATGCGTTTACAGAGATCAGACGATATAATTTTAAAAGCTTAACAAGAGAACCCCTAAAATTAATAAACTTTATTATTCCACTTATTCCTATTCCTGTAGTTTGATCCATTCCTAATTTGTTGCTTTCACTTTAGGTGAGAACATGTCAAATGGCGTTCCCCTCCGTATCTCCCAAGCCTCAGTGGATATCCACGTAGATTCTCCCGGTCACCTTCGAGTCCCAAGTCATCTACCCGAGCACCACCGTGGTTACCTCATAAAACTCCACAAGCATAAGAAATCAACGAATAGAAAAAAATGAAGATTCAAATTGTCCGTCTTGTAAATATGCATTCAATAAATACGAATAGAAAGATGTATGATTTTTTTTCTATAGTGATATGAGCAGAGATTTTTTTTCTGTTAAACTACAAAATTCACTATAATGCATGTGACTTCATTGGGATATATGTTTAATCATTAGACCAAAAAAAGAAAAAAAAAACATTCAAAACCGACGGTGAGTATGCTGCGTTCGTTGATTTATTTTGCATGTTATTTTTGTTTTTCATTTGCTTCGATTTAATGTTTATTTAATTACGTGTACCAAAGGTTTGCTCATTCCAAACTGAAAAACCTAACTTATGTGTTCACTCTAACGGTTAACTAAAATCTTTCTATATACCAGTATAAGTACCTTATGTATTTTAACACTTGCCAATCTCCATTGCCATGTTAGCGACCTTTGATACCGCGGTGTTGTGATACCAGTATGTTTTGCAGATCACAGCGGTGTCGCCGCGAACGTTCGCTGCGACGACTCGGTGTCGGCGCTCGGCTCGCGACGCTCGCTTGCCGACACGAGCGTCACCAGCACCGCGGATCTGAGCGTGTTTTCGAGCGGGCGATCGCACGCACCGGACAACTCGCTCGACACGCACAGCAACGTCAGCGACGACGGCACTGGGTCAGATGGGTGAGATTTGTGTTGGGCGAGAGTTACACCGCTTTTTAGTGAAATTACGACCGTGAATTCTAAATTACAATTTTAAGGTTCACTTGCTACAATTTTGCTAAATCTCAATTTAACTTAAATTAGATTTGACAATGATATCAAATTGACATGGACTTTTCAAATTTTTCTATGAGTAAGATCTAGTTTTAGTTGAATCAAGATTTCATCGTAATGCTTATTTTTATCGCATTATTGACATCACAGCTCAACTAACCAGCAATATCCTTCATCCTTTTACTAGAAAAAAATCCGTCCGCTGCCTGGTCCGCGTGGATTTATTTATAGTAAAACTTTTCTTTAGATTTAAACATCTAGCAGTTAAATGTTTAAAAAAATAAAAACATAATCCTTCATCCTGTCAAGGTGCATCCAACCTTGAGCAATGAAGAGGTCATGAGTAACACTGAAAAGTCGTAAAGTTTCTAAAATAGCTAATTATACTGTAAAATTTTGTTAATTTTTTACCACCTCCCTCCACAGTAGTAGTATGTCTGTTGATCGTGAGCACTATTTTTTTAATTTATTAGACCGCAAAAAAAGTCCCCTTGTGCATTCTTGGATCAGTATTATCATCAGCCTATTAATGTCCCCACTGCTAGGGCACAGGCCTTCCCTATGGATAGAATAGGGAGATTGGGCCATGACCCACCACGCGGGCCCAGTGCGGGTTGGTGGGTGCTAACGACTGCAGATGCAGCCGGGACCAACGGCTTAACGTGCTTTCCGAAGCACGGAGGATCTCGAGATAGTAAATTTTCGGTCACCCATCCAATGACCGACCACTGCGGAAGTTGCTTAAATTCAACGATCGCAGCGGAACGCGCTAACCACTTGCGCCATCGAGCTCCTCAGTATGCATAGATAAATGTAAGTGTAGTGTGTTCTAAGTATAACCTTTTGCACCTGCACTACTCTGGGATTTGATAAATAGTCATAGAAAAAAGTGATTATCATCATCATGCAAAATAGTAAATTTTACAACAAGTGAAGTATTAGACTAGTAGAAAGAAGTGTTTTACTAAAAATAAGCTACAAAAAACTCAGTAATTTTGTATGAAACATTATTTGGAGATAATAGGGTACTAAGCAATTTGGCTACAGACTGGGCTCTACAGTCTATTTTTCTGTTTGTTTCAACTTAGCAAAGTCATAAAAGCCACACACACCCACAAATTCACGAAAGAAAACACTTTGGTGCTAACGATTTCAGTAAATGTAAATCGGTAATGAATTTGCAGGTCCGGTATTGGCGGGCTCAGTATTCAACGAGCTCCGTCGACCGCGCATTCTACACCGCGAGCGACGCCGCACCCGCCCTCAGTGTCTCCGCTATCCGACGACATAGTACGCATACACGTAACGTACAATCCTCTTGCAGCAAGCCCTTCCCACCTCCACCCAAGCCCGGCGAAATATAAAACTTATACTGACGAACACCACAAACCTCTCTCTCTTGGCTTCTACACCAGTAACGGAGCCAGCAATCTTCCATCAGACAACAGAATCCGAATCCAAGTGCCCTCAGAGGAACTCTTAACACCCGTTGTCGACTCAGGCAGGATCATTACTCAAAGGTACATTGAATCTCAAGACATGTACGATCTGAAATAGCCTTCGATTTAACATTAGGCTAAGGTTTAACGATTTGTATATTATTACTGATTATTACTCTCTTACTTTTGTTTTTTGGTCTCACCTAATGCTAGTTGCATTAGGAATATGAATTTCATCATAGTATAGGTGAACTGACTTTGTAATTACTTGAATTGAATTTATGCTCGTGCGACTTGTCAATGTGTTATCAACTACTCGAATATGATTGATCTTGTAAAGATTGCGCTGTGTCCCTATATAATGGTAGGTACACTGTTTTTTATTAAGGAATATTTAATTGGCTTCAGTTTGCGAAAAAAGAATTCTTTCTTTGTTTTTTTTTTCTGGAATGAAAATAATGTTCGGAAATTGTTTTATGTTTCAAATTATGTAGCGATTAATTTCTTGAGCAAAACCACAGAGACAAATAAACTTGCGCAGTAGACGTATTTGTATGGAAAATTGCTACTGCGCAGGCTTCCTTGTCTATAGTCCTTGCTCAACGAGTTTTCCGGGGTGTATACAAATAATATTTTTCATTATACTATAATGATTTCACATCAATCACTTCAGTTAATAACCTTTGTGAATTTATGCATGGTTTTCTTTATTTATTAGTATTTATGGTACGCATTTTAGTGACATAGATATTAAATTGATAATTATGTTTCTGTTGTGCATTGTAGTAAACTCAATACACTTATAAACCGACTATGAAATAATTGTTTTACATTGCCTTACATTTAACGATATTATTGAAGGGCTTTCAAAATATATTTTAGAATATAAGTTCTCTAACAAATTTATTGACAAGTTTAATTAGATTATCGGTATGCGAGCGTTATACTAGAATTGCCATTTAAAATACACGAAATCTACAGTTAGGTCCACTTGCAGCAAATTTGCGAAATCTCGATTTAACTAAAACTAAACACTTTTATAAAAGTGGACGTTATTTTGAAGTAGCAATGACGATCGGTTTAAAGTCAGCATATAAAATTTTTTCATTGTGCTCTGATATGTGTAGAATTAGGCCATTTTTACATTTTCACTAAATCTCGCTCTATATTTATGAATTTAACAAGTTACGAAAATTAAAACAAAATAAAATATTTAAGAAACAGTAAATTATGTTTCAGCTAGATTTGAATTAATAAAGTTTGCTCCGAATAGTATATATATAATAGTATATATGGCAGCATTTTGTCAAAAAAAAAAAAGTTTATTTAATATATTCTCAAAGCGACGTTAGAATTAATTAGTGTAAACTGATTTTGAATTTATTAATACCAATTAATTGCTATGACTGAACGTGTTATTACTGTTGATATTGCTATGAAAATAGGTTATTGTTTGGAAAATAAAAGGTAGATGTGATCACGATTTTTATCATTATATAATCATTATAGGCCAGGGCTTATGCCTCTGAAAAAGGGTTAAAGTTTAAAAAAATAGTACAATATGGAACCCGTTTCAAAAGGAAGAGAGCGTATTAAAAATAGAGGGGAATGCAAATCGTAAATGGCCCGGGGCGCCAGATTTTAAAATACTCCCCTGTCTAGAGTAGGACATGTACATGATGGAATAGTCTATATTTATGTCCTAACAATTTGATCATCAGAGTTAGTCTAAGACTTTGGAAAAATATTGGACAAACAGTTCGATCACGATTTACTTTTCGATTCGATCAGTTACTAGTAGGAAAGGATGGAATAAACAAAAAATTGACAGCCCTGGCCTTATTAGAAGTAGGTTGTACAAATTTGTTTCGAACATTTGTCATAGACAAATTTGTTAACGTCTTGTTGTACCATATCGCTTGCAGCTATCGGATTAGAAACTTTTAAGTATTCCAAAACACATAAAGTATGATTTATCTATCTATGTAATTAATGGGGGCTAGACAACAAACATATTTATTTATATATTTTTAAGTTTTCGTTCTTTAATTGCAGAGATCGTGAAAATAATCCGTGTAAACTTTCATTTAAACTGGTGATTGCTGAATCTCATTTATAATCTAGGTTGAAAATATTGATTGCCTGAAAGAAATCTATATTAAATCCATAATTTTATTGTAAAAGTTTTGCTACTAACATAATTAGTAAGTATTTATTGTTGTAGATCTGTAAAATGTATTTACGTGGCGAACATATTCGCTGCTTGATTCTCGTTTTTTGGGATTTCACTGATGTTGTATATTTGTATAATCTAAGTATAAAAATTTTATGTAAGAAATATTTGACTTGATGTATATTTAGCGATATTAGTATGCATTTGATTATTTTGAAAATTTCTTGCAAACTAACTAAACTTACAGTGAGAATCGCAATAATGTCAGTTAAACTGTTAATAATGTTTTAAAGTAAGTAGTTATAAGACGTGCGAGTCAATGTTAGCATTAGTGAATTTGCCGTCAGGACGAATAATGTATGTAAGGACCGGTCAATTATATGTGAGGCACTCGGCAGATAGTTACGCTTGCGAATTTCAACCTTATAACTTAATGTATTACGACATATTTGTTGGTGATACAAAATTAATGCTGTGAGCGAAATATTAGTCAATTGTGGTCTCGTGATTTTTTTAAAAGAAACGTTAACGAAACTGTATACATGTAAACAAAGGAATGCAATTCTGTTGGAGTGATACGTGAAATGATAGCTTCATCAAACATTAAAATAAAGTTCCAAAAAAATTTTTTATGAAGCAAAGCCTAAGCTCCTAGTGATTACATTGACATTTCATTGGTAGAAGCACCGCCAATTCTGGCTTTAAAAAGCACATCCTTATTAATAATAAACAGCAATATTTCTCAATGTATAAAATATTATTTTACCTGGCTAATGACATTACTTTAAAATTTATAAATAACACGTATTGGTGAAAATTATCAATCTCATGGTCTTTAAAATGATTCTTTGAAATACTATAACACACTTTCATTGAATAAGCTGACTTATTACTTTTTAATCGATATAAATCTATAGATAATTAGCAATAGATGCCGGAATAATAGTCATGCGCTAAGAACTGATATAATTATTAGTTAACTTTGGTATTCGATATTATTTAACTTTTGATAACGATAGTCTTGTATGTGTTTCATATTTTGAAAATAATATTGAAACATTCTCTATACATTATAGAGAACATAGAGAAATAAGATAATAGTTATTGAAATAAAATGTGCACGAATATAATATGCACTAAAAAAGTAATATTAAAAGTTGGTATGTTTTTAAATATAATTTACATCTTAAATTGGAAACTGTTATCAAAAGGTAATTTAAAAGTAGCGGAAGTCCAAATGTTACGTTCAAAAAAGTCGTGCCATTTCTATGTTATTTGTTAAGGATGTTTAGAGTAATTTGACGTACAATCCGCAAGGATATCGCAGAGAATTTTAATAAATTAGGCTCCTGCTGTTTATTAGTGATTAAATAATGTTCGAATCCTCATATGTGAGTAAACTGTATTTTTTTCCGAATCATCAATACGGAACTAGAAATTTATTCAAGTCACTATCCTCATTTTCACAATCTTATGGTTCCCTTTTTCAAAGCACAGGTCTAACTACTACATATTGCTAAATACAAAGTACATAGTTACTTTCAAAGCCTCTCATGGTTACCACAAATGAGAGACGTTTATTTTGTAATCTTCTTTTATCCCTTGCTACAAATTATATTATTGAAAGAACATTAATCTTTAATTTTAAAGGTTAAAAATATGTCGATGATTATTTATATCTGTAATTTATGCATTTTATAGTAGTCTAACATTTAGTAACAACTGCACGTCGATTTTTCGACAACGTATTTGGGATACACCTCCGGGCACATCTATCGGTCCACCTAGCATTTTTAGTTTTGATGGTCCCTAGCTAAAAATAAATGTTACATTGAGCAAAAAGTTATTACCTACGCACTTTTACAGCTGATATATTAACCATCTTCTCGTGTTTTTTAAATTATTGCTCAACCATAAACATATATTTTTGCTACAGACCGTTTAAACTTATAATAACGCTAAGTGGGCCGATAGATGTGTCCGGAAGTCAACGATATTAAATACGCTATATACACCACGTCCGCTCAAAATGTGTCCCAATCAAGAAGTGCTTGAACTCTACTCAAGCACTTCTTGGTTCACAGTCACGCGCGGATCGTTGAAAAATCAACATGCCGCAGAGCTCCGTGAAACAATGTATCCAATCAATGTTTGTGAACTTATTATATTATTTATTTATATTACTATAAACTGATTTAATAGAAAATATTTGTGATGTTCAAATACAATGACGGTTATATAGCCGTCTCTTTTCCTCGCGGTTCCTGCTATATTGCTAACAGCGGCTTCAGAATTGCGCGTAGAGTCAAAGAAATAAGGTCCATATTCTTCCGCATATAGCAATAAGTCGTAAAATTTTACAAGCTTGCATTTCGAACTGTCATAACTCTTTGATGCATGCGTTTTAATTAAGACCTTATACAGTATGCGTTAAAAGTGACTTTCGTTGTTTAAATAATGTCTTTTTTTTGACAACGCGATCATCTCGCGGAGCTCCGTGGATCGTCCAATGTACCTTTTGGACAGGTTTCAACTACGATTTTGTTCGTGTTGGTGTATCTAGGGTATTTAATATCATTGCCTGAAGTGAGTATATTATAAAGCGTCATTGCGACACTATGCTGTGTTATGATGTAATGTCTAAATATTTACTAATTACTGATATTGTCTATAGTAAAATTTTTGTTACAGAATCGACCTACAGTTTTTTATATAATCGTCGTATTTGCGTTTTCATACACCTCTTCGGTTTGCGTACATATGAGGGATCTTCTTTTTAATTTCTTAACATTTTCTAGATTTAGTACCTAATTATAGAGTATTATACAATTTCATATGATTAATTTAAGGAACTGGAATTACATGGACATCGCCGCTAGGGTTTTGTTGAACATCAGTGTGGTGTGGATATAGTATAATATTTTGGATCTGACGTAAAAGTGGGACTCGCGTGTCGCATTATATATTTTGACAACTTCGATAAAGATGTATTCTTCTCTATCGAAGTTATCAAATGTTGCTATCGGTAAACTGATTTATAATTAACAAACATGCATAGAAATATCCACAAAATAAAAACTATGATTATACATTTTCTATGAACTGTTTAGCGGGAATGTGTCGTGATTGGCCCAAACAACTAAACATTCATGTGATCATACAAATATTTGATTTCAAGCACCGTACTCCATTTTAGTCTTGTAAAATCACACGCTGTGTTGCATTTATGATTTAAAATTGACTGTGTAATAAAGGCATAATATAGTTGTCACATATCACAATATGTGTCAACTATATTATGCCTTATATTCAATATATTACTGTTCTTTACATTTCCTGTTCTTCCCTATTCTTAGGATTTCTGTGATGCGATTCGAATGGCTTAGACAAAATATTACTCAGTGTTCACTTCGCAATGAAGCAAATAGTCTATTTTCTCGTGGCGCAAATTCGCTAAGTAATGCTCTGTTTTTTCCTTAATAATATGTAGTTTACTTACTAAAAAAAACAAAATACTAGATCCAACATGCATCTTGCTAATAGATATTCTGAGATTAATCCGTTTTGTTATATCACCCCTTAGATTAAAACAAAAAGGGTAGATACGGTACGCTCATACTTGCATCAAACAAAAACTGATCCCACGGCAGTGCGAACGAGACTGCGAGATTCGCGTCACTGCATTACCTGGTCGGTATATCTAAAACAAAAATCAGGCGACCAGTACTCGACGTCACTACCGAATAAGATTCAAAACAAACAACATTTTTATGAAAAAATACATTTTATAGTACTTACGAATGAAAAGTGATGCCGTGGGTTTTATTTTTAGTTCTTGAGCAATTTGAGCACTTTTTAAAAACACACTTGGGGATTGTTTTATGATATAAACACAAAATATTAGCAATATTTCTTTTTGGCGTTCACATGTACGTCGTTTGCATGTCAAGTTGTGACTAAAGCGATTAGGGTCGTGGACCACAATTGGTGCGGATCACTTTTGTGAGGTTAGTGCCGTATCTACCCTGTTTGTTTTAATCTAAGTATCACCCTCGATACATCACCAATAAGCCGCCAAGTAAAAGTGAAATTGATTAAAAAATAATATGAGCATAGTAAAATACTCAGTATAATTGAAGTCAATCTTGGAGGTAGATTTAACTTATATTGACTTTTCGTTAGGAATGTGTTTTTCGGGTTATGCTTCTCCCAGACTTGCGTGACGAAGCTTCGGGTGGCTTTGGTACGAAATGCGCTAAAAATTTGCGTTCGAAATTTGAATTAGTTCTGTCGTAATAATTAGCTATATGGTAGCTTGACTGTGCAGTCTCTATCTTTCCGTGCACATTTGTATGTGCAGCTGAGAGAGCGTATTTAATTAAAAGTTTGAATGCTAATTTTAGCCCAATTTGGTACCAAAGCCACCCGAATCTTCGTCACGCAGTTGTGGGATAAACATTATATGATTAATTAAACAGTAAATGCAGTCACGGCGCGTAAGAATTTGTCTAAGCGTTTGTGCCTCGAGAGAAATTACGCTAAGAGTCTGTCGGCTTAAAGTGATAGATGTCATTATCTAAAACTATAAATATAATATGATTTTGTGGTAAAGATGTTTGTGTATATAGCGATCTTTCATTTGAAGATTTTAAATTATACTTATGTCCGTCCAATTATTTTTATTTATAGACTGATAACTAAGTGTGACGCTTTTATATGTTCATGTCTTTAATTTGTGTGTAGTTCTCATTTGATCGCAATGTTTTTACGTTGTCTAGCAACATAGTAAGCCGAACGCTGTTATGCCGAATATGTGTATGTTTTTATCTAAACTAAATAAGATTTTAAAGAATTATAAATGATTATAAATGTAAAATCGATAGTTACGCTTCAAATATCGCAATAGTCTTCATAATTACATATATTTCTTCTATAAGGACTTTCTCTTAATGTAACAGAGTGTTCATATGAAATGTAAAATATTAAAATTTAATGTTGAAAGCTGTAATTAATGTCTTCAATTATTGATAAAATTTCGATACTGTTTCTTCCAGGTATTTAATAAATTTTGAACTACAGTGAGAATAGTGCCTGCACGAATTCGTTTAACCAATGTTTGTGTAGATGCCTATCGATGTATAATATTTCTCGTCCCTACGATGTAAAATGGGTATTATCGTCACTAAGTTTGGTGGCAATTGATAAAATTTAGTTGCAGATATTACCGTCTTATTTTGTTTTCCGGAGGTGTTCCTTGGTCTGTAGAGCATAATTAATAGACTTTCGGTAATAAGAAGCAAATGTTACGTTATAGTATGGTGTGATGAAATGTAACCGTAACCGCATGACAAGAATAGTAAAGTGCTTGGTTAGCATAGATAGACCAAGAGCAATCGGGGTATAGCTTCTTGTTACAAACTCTGAAATATATTATAAATATATTTATTGAAGATGTCTTGGTAGTGGCATTTATTCGATGCATTTAAAATTTTCTAGGGTTTCCTGCAATCTACAAGCAAAAAGCTACATCCCGAGTTTGTTTCAATTTTTGGGACACAGTAGCTTAGGAGTTTTCTTCAATTTTCATGAATCTAAGGAGATTCATAAAAATAGTAATTTTTACCCTAATTATACTTATATAGGGTGAAATTGAATGTTTTAATGAAACTTCGTGAGATTGTTGGGTTACGAGTATAGAGTATGCCTGATTTTTTTCGAATTTTTTGAAGTATTTTTTTTCATGTATTTATTTATAATTTGTGTATTTTTTTGTCCTTTCCTCCTTTTGAGTAGTTATTCATATTAAACAAACATGCTTACATATCCAGTGAAAAACAACTAATAAATAAGCACTTCTAAAAAACGGAAAAACAGTAAAATTCCCCCGCGGGTCAACGACCGACCGCGCCCGCCAGCCGTTGAGTGAGTAGGTACGTACACAGAGCTCAGCTGACTCGTTTGATTCAACACAATACAATAAAATCGTCTTAGATGCCTTTATCGAAATTGAAATAATAAGCACAAATGTCATCTTCTCTTAAGCAGAGAAAAACTTAAAAAGTTAATAACAATTTTGTCACGATTATTGGAAATAGGCAAAAGTTAAACAAAAAGAAATACTTATTGCAGTTCAATACTTGGGTCAGAATGAAATTTATTACCAGGTATTCAAAAGTACTTACGAGACCGATGTACCTATTAATTTTTTTCTCTATAACTTCCCAATAAATCACCAAACCTACTTTCGTAAAGCCTTGTGGCTCTGCTGAGTATTCCGTGACACTCGCAATAACAACACACCATATCCAAATTCTTATATTGAGGGCACAGAACAAGAACTAATCAAGGCATTATTTGCAAATCTTGTCTTGTCACAAATTTAAAAGATACGCACGCGCGCTTGAGACTCCGCTCGCTCACTGCGCTGTGCACCGCGCATACCTAGAGAGGTAGGCAGGAAGGTATTCAACGGCGGGAGCGGTCATTGCTCCCGGCCGCCCGTCTCCTGTTTTTACGTCTTTTTTAGTAGTGCTTATTACTTGTTTTTTAATTACTCTGTATGCATGTTTTAAAAGAATAATTATTTAGTACCCAAAAGGAGGAAAGGACTTAAAATATAACAAAAAAAAAAACAAAATTTTATTTTAAATCATTTTTTAAAAAATCCGAAAAAATTCAGAGATACTCTATATACGTAACCCAACATTCCCACGAAGTTTCATTAAAACATTCAATTTCACCCTACAGGGTGCACATACTATACATAGTATAAAATATAACTTTCACATTGAGCCCTTTCATTTGATATATATTACGGTACAGTTAGACTCGATTCGGCTCTACGTAGTTACAGACAGAAAGGGTGGCCTATACGGGTTCCTTTTTTGTCTATTGTGGTACGGAACCTTAAAATGGAAAACAATTAAAACTGTATAACGATTGGTTCGTTGTTGTAACAAGTGAGAGAAATCTATAGGCATCTCGCTTACTTTCGTCGTAAATTATTCAATAAATGTATGGAATCATATTTTTAAGGTATTTTAACAGCGGGGCAACACTGAAAGACCGGAACACAAATAATTATTAGTATCTGCAATAAAAAGTTCATAATACATTAATAATAAATTGCTGTAGTACCTAGTGGCTCGAGAAATTAATTTTGAAACGATTTATTCAATAAAAGCTAAACTAGAACTCGTCGGTGGTTACAAGTTCGCATTGAGACCGCCTTTATTACAAAGCATTAAAATAGATATTCGTAGGTAGTGCTAATGTATCTGTCTACTGTCGTGTTTTCATTTCAAATAACCAACAGATTTTTCACACTGACAATGAGCCTATTTGTATACACCACTGTATTTTTGGCATTAAGAGCCCGAATTTAAATGGAATCGGGTCTTTCATTGTTTGTCTGTTTTGTGGTTTAGATGTTATCGTGGCTTTTGTATCTGTTGAGTATTCAATACGTTTGAGTTTCTGAATTTCATGGAGTTCTGAACGTTTGGCAATGTATCGTAATACAAAACGTTCACAATTCAAATACAAATTACCGTATACAAGTAAATTAAAAGTTTTCATGTTTCGTTTTGGCTTCGTTGGACTTCTGTATCAAATATTATATTATCCGTATTCCGCGGCTTTGCGCTTGTACTAATATCACTTGAAAACTATGTAATAAAGGCTATAATTAATAATAGTTTATTTAACTTTATCTACCTATGTGGCCTCGACTGTACTATAAAACAGAAAAAATTGAATTAACAATGTGCAAGTTTATTGTAAGTAATGGTAAAATAACACGACCCTCAAGGTACACGAAATATCGAGCCGTTACCGCAAAATTATCGTAAGCGACACTTTTGTCGAAATGCGTTTTTTGTGGAAACTAATATTTTAAACCGTAACGGACCCATCTCTGTTGATATTTCCCTCCAAAAGAACACCGTTATAATATAATAGAGGGAAGAATAGAGGGAAATATTAACAGAGATGGGTCCGTTACGGTTTAAAATATTAGTTTCCACAAAAAACGCATTTCGACAAAAGTGTCGCTTACGATAATTTGGCGGTAACGGCTCGATATTAGAATCTTCGTAGTGTTTGTTCATTTGTACCTATATTGTCAGAATGGTTATTTCTTATAATATGAATTCACGACGAGAACGATTCGTTTATTTATTACGCTTGAATTTTATTTTGCATTTAAAAAGGTATGTTTCTAATGACATAGTAAGACCAATATACGTTCATTTCTAATTTAGGTTACCGCGTCCAAAAGTATTTTGTAAGT